CTTCTTCTTCTTCTTTATTTGTTAAACTTTCTGCTTCTTCGCAGAGAACTCCATCACAAATTCCTTCAAAGAAAATGTTTTTCGCCATCTCTAACAAAAATGTTGACTAGAGGCAATGTGGCGAAAACAATAAAACACGCTTTTTCTAGGTTTCAAACTCCGATAAAACATGGGTTTTTGACCAATCAGAGCGCGCGTAGGGTGCTATTTATATTATAAAATGGATTACTTACGATCCTAAACAACATTATACAAAAAAACAAAAAACAAAAAAAAAGCAAAAACAGATATAGGAAAAACAACTTTCATGTAACTGCAACCTGTAAAAACAAACACCTTGATAATTGTAACATACGATAACTTTTGCCGCACTCCGTATTTACCTTCCTTTTTTACCTGTCGGTAGAAAGCCAACGCCTCAGGTTTTTTGTGCGAAACCGTAAAGAGAATACAAGAGTGCGAAAAATTGTGTTCAGCTTAATTGCAGGTTATGATAACCGTAATTACAGAAGGAGAGAAAATTGCAGGGTTGGCAATCATCTGTCTAATGTGCCTTTGACAATATAAGTGGTTATTTCTATTCATGTACATTTGACTCCCTTTTGGATCGAGGTCATGTGCTCAGTGATTGGCTAGCCTTTTTTACGAGTGGCATTCTATTGGCTAACATTCACAGTATCATAATCAACGCCCTTTAGTTAGAGCCAAAGAATAGCTCCCGGTTGGTTCAAGTTGTTCTCACTCTTCTCACTGGATTCTGCTGTTTAAAAGAAGCATTGAAATGAAGGGTTTGGCGCTGACTTCTGTTGTTTTCTCCGCGATTTTCGTGGCTGGTAAGTTCACAGGTTTGTTTGTTTGTTTGTTTGTTTTTGACCACCAATTCGTCTTAAAAAGGGTGCAAAAATATACGCGTTTGTTTGTGGCGGGAGTCACCTATCGAACAAAAGGGAACAAAGTCGATTTCGCGTCTCGATGAAAGCGAAACCATACGTGGTGGCTGATAATCACTACATCGGAGATATTAGAGGACGCACCTCATTTCTACGGTTTGGACTTCCGTCCACACTAATCCTTCACGAAAACGGAGCTTTTCGAAAATACTCTTCATAAACCGGAGTAATTTGAAAGCAAAATATTTTTAAAATGAAGCTTTCCAAAAACGATGGCCTCAGGATAATCATGTGATTTTCCTAACCGATTGTTCCTCAAACGCAAATCCACAATGACGGGCGATTGTTGCGCCTTTAAATTGCTCCGGCGGAGGAGGGAACCTAAGAGACCCGATCATAACCGAACTTACAAAACAGGAGAGGAGTAGAAGCAGCATATCAATCAACTCTGACTGAATGTGATGAACCCAAAGTTGTCTTTTATTCTAATATGTAATTTTAAAATCCACCGAATATTCTCGTTGGGTCAGAAGGGATAGAACGTGATATTTCGCGAGACTATCAATGAAAATTCGCTTTGATGCACACAAACTAATAAGAGAGTAGGGTTTCTTTATTTTAACGCGCAGATAAATATTATATATTCCAAACCAAATGAATTACATGTAAAGAAGGGACAGGCTGACCTTGCCCAATGTAATTTCTCAACACAAGGTTCTAACGTGTAATATTGGCAGATTAATTAACAGAGTACAGTTTATCGACAGTTTAGTGACGTGTTTGATGGAGCGGGTATAGGAAATGGGAGTTTTCTTTGGCTTGCTTGACATGTTAGCATTTAATTTCGAATGGCAATTTCGCATGGTAATTTCGCAGCATATTTGTTGCATAACATCGTATTTTGGCGAAATCAAGTCAAAGTTATGTCAGAATGAAATCTATGGCGCTCGTGAGCCATACCTTTGTTTTTCGAGAGTTTGGCCATCGTATTTCATTCGAAGCATGTCGAAACGAAGGAAAACACTGTGAAACTACTAACGATAATTAAACATACTAGTACTTTCAGGGAAACAACTTACCGTAAATCAATACGATTTCGCTTCAACATGCAATATCAATAATTTCGATGGCATCGAAAATGGCAGAGTCTGACAAGGGTCCTTTAAGATACTGAAAACAAATAACAAATTGCTAATACTAGGAAAATGATGAAAAACATTTTCTCAGACAAAGAATTTTTAATCAGTGCAATCAGTCTGTGTATGTAGAGATTGAAGCTGCAATTAATTATCTTGACGTACCAGTGACGGGGGCTGGCACACATTGGCAGCTTGCTGTACAATTCTATGGAGTGTCAACAACCTCGGCAGCCCTCTGACTCGCAAAGTTATGCGGTAGATCGAATTGTTGGTTCAAGCTCGAGTAGCTTAAAGACGAATCGTTAACGGAGACTGATGTTATACCAGAACCTTGTGAGGCAACATTACCACCGTCAAAATATGGATGAAAAATATGGATGAAAGCGGACACGGGTTGAGAGAGTTAGTTGGGAGAGGATAGTTTTTAAATAATTTAAATAAAATTTTTCAACACCTGTAGATAATTTGGAGTGCTCTTGCTTGGTAGCTTTGCTTGTAAATGCAAGTTTTAGTTTCCCATAGACTGTGCATAATTTTTAGCAAATAAAAGAGTCGACTCAGTTAACAGAAACAACATGGAGTACTTCTTTCCTTGCTGAAAAAAGTGTGACCCTCCCCCGGCTGTGAGGAGAAAAAAAGAAGGTTTGGCCTTCCCCAAATTTTACTGATGACCCTCCCCTCCGACGCCCCCGCCCACCCCCCAACCCCCTCCAATAGAAAACATACCATCTCTTAAAGTCGGTCTCGAGGGTGTCCGCTATAACCAGAGTTGACTGTACCTAAGCAAAAGAATCGCCGCATGATCAGATAACATTAAACACCACTCTTTCAAAAACCTGGGTGAAATACGATCTGCAAAGTTACCTTTTCCTCTCTAGTGAAATCTGGGGTGCTTTCTATTCAACCAAAATTCCGAGCAATTTCAGAAAATCTGGAAATTCTTTAATCGTCGAAAAGCGAACCATGCAAACGAAAATTCCGTCAGGAAAATCAAATGCTACGGAAATTCCCGGAAAGAAATTTCTGAAAATTTGGGTATACCTCGCGAGGTTGGCTCTTTACTGGAAATTCGGAAAATTGCTGTTGCATTAGTCACTGGAAAATTTCAGAAAATTCAAACCAGAATTTTTCATCGAATGGAAAGCGCCCCGGGAATTTCCTGGCAGGTAGATAACGAAGAAAAGATCAAGGCGAGTGACTTTTACTTTTACCTTTCCTCTAGCGCATGGCATCAGGTGCTACAAGTGTCTCGGCACAGAGGATTACTGTGCAAAAGATAAGCTACAGGCAGACAAGAAGAAAAACGTGATGGAATGTCCCGAGGTATTTGATCGCTGCTTGAGGAAATGGATCAAGAAAGATGACAAGACAGCGGTTGTGAACGCATGCGCCACCCAAAACACGTGTGACGTAGAAAAAAAGACCTGCGATGAAATTTCTGGAGATTGCGCCGTCGGCTGCTGCGAGTCTGATGAGTGTAACGCAGGCTCGACTGTTACTTTCAGCGCTGTGTTGATAAGCATGTGCGCCGTTCTGGGCCCAGCACTAATGGGGTAGAAAGTGAAGCTAGGACTGGTGTCGACTCCGGATAAGCTCTAGGCACAAGAAATAAGCTAAAGGGCGGGTCCTTGTCCGAGGACTTGAATACATGTTCTCTAGCAGTAGATATTTTGTTCTTTAACTTGTAAAAGCTACTAATAAAATGGAAGTTGCACCTCAGGGTTAGAAATTATTGAAATTCTTTAGACCCAAATAGATCAGTTTACAGGTTTTTTAAAACTAAACGTAACACAAAAAGAGGGCAAAAGAGGGCTTTTGCTCGTTGTCAGTATCACAACCGACGAAATTAGGGACTGTGCAATAATTACCTGGGGGGAAAGGATCGGAAAATTAGAGGGGGGGGGGGC